GGATGCACAGCAGCCAGAGGGAAAAGCACTCGCGGGTCGCCAGTGGCTGCTGATGGTCGTGGCCGTCGCCTGATGGTCGTGGGCACCACCGAGGTTCCTGCGCGCGCGCCAACAGGCACCGGACGTGTGGCGGCCCCATGGGGCGAGAGGACTGATGGAGCATGTCTCTTTTCTTGTTGCGCCCGGGAAGCATCATCATTGCGGCGGATTTACGAGTGCGCGGGTCGTTGTGCCTAAAAACCGAAGACATGTATCGGCGGTGCTTGTTTTGTGAACAGAGCTGTGCCCACCCGGAGCCTGTGCCTCTCCGTAGAAGCTGGACGCAAAGAAAAAAGCACCTGGCGGTCCATCAGAGAGAGGCTCCGAAGCGTCGGGAGGCGGCTGGCCCCTTTTGGCTTGTAGGTTGTCGACGGCAGGAACGAGGGCTGCATACGTGCACAACGACAATAGTCATACGACAACGCGGTCACATGAGAACCGTTTCCGAGCTTAGCGGAGCGGGCCTTACTGCGCTGTAATGATCAAAGGTGATGTCGACATGCTGAGGAGCCGCACCGTGTCGTCAAGATTGTCAACTTGACGGAGTTAACAGGCAGTAATGCAGGGGTCAGACAAAGTGCGCACTTACTGCAAAAGGCTCAGGGTCGCCCGTCGCAAGCGAACGGCCGGGGAATATCAAGACGAGGATATCAAGGACGTCCCCAGGGAACAGATGAGCAGAGGGAGCAGGCATCGTGCGCTCATCACCAAATGTGCTTCGCAGATGATACAGGGTGCGCGCCACCATCTCTCGCGGTGGTGGCACGAGGCTACGGGTCGTCTCGAAGGCGGTGCCCAGCACCGACGGAACGTTCCACGCCCCGCCAGGGAAGTGTACGCCTGCGATCTCTCACACAGCGCGTCGGCACCCCCATGTGCGATTTCATTGCAAGGCAGGCACATAGCACGTATAGCCGGTCTGGCGACAGTGCGTCTTTTTGTTTTTTTTTTTTTCGTGAGACACCGTGAAAGATCGCGCGCGCATAAAGCGTTCGTCCGCGGACGAGAAGCCACCGCGCAACGCCTAATATAATCCCCATCTGGGTGGCGGTTGGGGCTGGGCTCCGCATAATCAGAAAGGGCGGATGGGCAGGAGAGAGATACTACTGGGCCCGCCTGCTGCACGACGGGCTGTGCGCTGCGGTTGCGCCTCGATCGCGCGCGCGGGTGCTGTGGCACGGCAAGTCTTAGTCCACGGTTCATTTAGTGTGCTGTCCCGTGCGCAGAGGGCGTGCCCGATGACCATCGGACCCTTGGAAGAAGACGCGAAGCAGCGGGTGATTTGCGCGAAGATTGAAATGTGATGTGGGATGCGGAGACTGCCAGGCTGCCAGCCCGCGGTGGCTAGACGCCACACAGGCCGCGAAGCCGTCTCTCATCTCATCCCTTGGACGATCATATCAGCCTTCTTGATGGATGCAAGCTGTCGAATCGCCTGGCGAGAAGATCGTCTGCGTTCGCGGCGAGATCGCGGCTGCCAACGGACGCGCCGGGCACGTCCAGGCAGGGGCGCGAGGGGGCGCGGGGGGGCGAGATATGTAGACCCGGTCAGCGCACCCACCGGTGGGAAGCGATGGATGGCGTCGGGCGGTGCAGCCACGTCTGGGAGCTGCCACGAAATCAGCGTCTGCGGTGTCGTACAGCCCCGCAGCTAATTGCCCCGGTCATCGAACCTTGCACCTGCGGGTGACGGATGGACGACGGCAACAGATGAGCGCAATTAAAAGTGACAGCAGGTGATATGAGGGTGTGCGCCTTTGTGGCGTCGCTGGGGGTTCTTGACAAAAGCGCGGCGCTGGCGACAAGTGGCCCATGACGGCCCCGGCTCCCTGGCCGCCGACGGCACCGGCACCGGCCGACAGCGGCATCGACAGTCGAGAACCAACCCACAGACTCGGGCTGACACGCGTCCTCAACAGGAAAACGTCGGCGCGCGCCGCTATCTCCCAGTTTGGAACTCCACGTGGCAGCCGGCGTCGGAGGGCGTGCGCGCTTGGTTCGTTTTCTGTTCACCTCGCGCGTCGCTCACCGCCGAATCCTCTGGCTACATTCCTTGCGGGACTCGCGCGGTGTGCAGTGTGACGTCCAAAGCCGTCGACCCGTAAGCAAACACCGCCGTGTCCACACCGCTTAGCTCAACTTTGCAGCAGATGTCGTCTCTTAGGTTCCTTGCTCCGCGAGCGGTCAAGACCTCGCTCGTCGGGCCAGATTACTGCTCACGAGTATACAAAATAAAAGTAATACTCAGCAGGTCATTCTATAGACAGCCATCCAAGACAGAAATGCCGATGCTGCAGCCACGTATTCAGTCGATAAAACCTATCGTGAACGAAGGAGATACCGACTTCGGAACGCGATCATCTCTGTCACGCAGAAGAGAGAGGGATGGAGAAAGTACGAGCTTTGGAACGCGGCGATCTGTTTCACGCAGAGGGGAGAGGGACGAAGGAGATACAGACTTTGCAATGCGGTCATCTGTGTCACGCAGAAGAGGGAGGGACGAAGGAGACACAGACTTCGGGGCGCGGTCATCTTTCTCGCGCAGAGGGGAGAGAGACGACGGCCATACAGACTTCAGAGCACGGCCATCTGTACCACGCAGAGGGGAGAGGGACGAAGGAGACACAAACTTTGGGGCGCGGTCATCTTTGTCGCGCAGAGGGGAGAGAGACGACGGCCATACAGACTTCAGAGTACGACCATCCGTATCACGCAGAGGGGAGAGGGACGAAGGAGACACGGGCTTTGGAATACGACCATCTGCGTCGCGCGGAGGAGAGAGGCCAGAACACTGGGCGTCAGAAAGCTCGAGCTGGGACAGGCCAAAACGCGCCGCGGCATACAGCTCGAAGCAGGAAATGCCCGAGCGAGCCTCGTATGTGCGGACATTCAGAAGAGCGACAACAGCAGAGGAGCCGCGCGCCGAAGCCGAAGACGACACAGAGCCGGTGTTCGATAAGAGGCTGCTGACAGAAGAGGAGAGGCCGAAGAGAACACCACCTTCGCACCCACCGCCAGAACAATTTCGTTGGAAGAAAAAAGGGAGGAAAATACAAATATTGTGAGTGTCGCCACGCCACGGATCCCAGCCCCGCGTTGCTCATCACCACGGCCACCTCCCACGCAGCCACAACCCAGACGACCCGACCTCGTGCCGGGTCCTGAAGCTGCTCGAGAGAGCGCGTGCAGAGCCGTTCCCGCCAAAGAGCAAGCACTCCCAGGAGCCCAAGCTCGTGAAGCGCAGGCGGCGCGGCGGGCCAACGCACATCCTGCCGCCCCCGCCCCCGCCGCCGTTGGAGTACGAGCTGCACGTGCGGGTCGGGCCGCCGACGGCCGAGCAGTTCCGGGTGCTGATGGCGCTCGTGTCGGAGCGTGCGCCGAGCTACGTGAAGGCGTTCCTGGACCCGTCGCAGGCGCGGTACGGCGCGCACGCGACGAATGAGCGGGAGCTCGCCGCGCTCGTCACGGCGGACAAGCGCCTGTTGCTGTGGCCGATCGTCGTGAGCTGGCCCGCGCGCTGGGCCGCGGTCGGGAGCTACAAGCAGGTGTACGCGTTCCTGCGCCGCATCGCGGACAGGCGGCCGCTGCCGAAGCTCGAGGGCACGCCTGTCTTCGACCCCGAGATCCTCGCCCGGGAGGTCGTCCAAGGCCCGTCGTACCTCGCCAAGCACCTCACCGCGAGCGATTTGGCCGAGCTCGAGGACATCACGGCGTAGCTATACGACGCACGTCCCTGCTTGCGCCCCTCTCCCCTCCATGTGCAGCGGATCTGGGATCTTCGTCTTCGTCGCGTGCCTGGCGGCTCTACACATCGCGCACGACTCTTGTTTAGGTTGCGGTGCTCGCGTCACCCGTGGTCTCATCCAGCATCAAGGGTCTAGGTTGCTGGCCCCTACCTTCTACTCTCATCTATCTCGGCACAAACGACGCTAGAACTGGCGATCAGCAGCTCAGGCCGTGGCGCTTGATGTACAATGGGAGCATCGGATCCGAGAAACTGTCTCATTGTTGTTGTCTCATTGTTCATCTAGCGGCTCATCATGTCTTAGACTCCTTGTCTCAGTGGACGTGATTTCTCGATAGAGTACACAAATAATGGGGGACTGTGTTGTGAGCTTGTGAAGCCGGTCGTTATGCGCTTACTGCAATCAAATTCTACCTTTTTTCTTCACTCTTCTTCCGTTGTTGACCCTTCAGCTAAGGCGTCTTAGGATATCGTACCGCCAGGACACGCACTTACCACCTCCCCGGTGACGCCCCTCCGCCGGTAAGGGGGGCACAGCGAGGGCCGTCGTGAACTCCGTGCTTCCTCGCACTGCGCAGCACCACACGTACCGACAGTTGTGATCGTGCGGGAACCATCTTATCGACCGACTGGAGCACGCTCATTTCCGCGGACATATCTGAGTGATATTTCTGAGCCGTTCCTGTCTCGGCAGCCCCAGCGCATGCGCAAGGAGGGCGCACAGCCTCTGTTTTTTCGCCCCCACCAGGGCCCGCTGGCTATCGTGCTGGCGCCGATCTGTGTGGGTGGGCTCAGTCATACTGGGGCGGCGCTGGGGGTTACCTGTTCGTTACGTTCGGCTTCGGCATGTCTGGCCTGCGTCCGAGGCGCCGTGTTTGTTGGATGGTGGCGGAGTGGAGGACTTTTTGCACCCATGATATCGGCCTTCTCGGCGATGACGTTGGGTGCAGTTTACTGCTCGCTGCAGGACATATCCAACTACTCCACACTTGGCTGCAGCCGTGCTTTCATTAATTTGTTTGGACGAGAACATTATTACGACAAACAGCCTCCGAAGAGCCAGACCAACAGCGCACAGAGAACACTTCCATATTTTCCGCCGCAACCTCAGGCCTCAGGCCTCAGGGTTCCTCCCGAGCCCCTATTGTCATAAATACGCGAGCTGTTGCCTCGCGGTGCGGGCGCAGCGCCGGACAGCGTCGACCGGAGACTGCGTGCAGGTACGATATAGCTTTTGGCAGGGATCCTGCGCTCGCGGCGATGCGCCCAGGACTCAGGGGGAACTGGCGATTTGATTGCGGGGTGTCCGTAACGAAACAGTGCACCGCAGAGCCGATGCTTTTTACGCGAGTGTGTGCCAATATTAGATCCACGGTGCCCCCTCTCGTGTTGCGCTCTGTGTGATGTCCTGGCCGCCTGGCGGACGAACGTTGGTTGGGGTTTTGTTTACGGGGGCAGGAGGAGCGGAGAGACACCCGCGCCACTCAATCACGGTGTCTCTGGCGCAGCCCGTTCCGTCCACGCCGCGCTTTCACTCAGGCGGAACGTCTGCACGGTCTCGGACCCAAGCGAGAGGCAAAAGTCTCGGTCGGCGGTGCGGCTCGAGTCGGACGGCCTAACTCGTGACGCGTGACGGCTCGCACGCCTGCCTACAATACCTTCGTACCTCGGTGGACCTTTAATAGCGAGAGCGGCAAACCTACTAGACCTGTCGTAATGCGTACGGGTACGGAGACGCGTCCGTGCGGCTGCTAGCGTTTGCGGGTCGTCGCAAGCCTGCCGAGCTCAGTTATCTGTGCGAATCTGCCGTCGAAGGACTTTTTACTTTATTTTCATCTCGCTCATAAATGCCTCGCGCCGCCATGCTGCTCTCAGAAGCGTGCAACTTCACGGTCGGTGGCAGAACTCGCTTAGCCCTTTGGCCAGAAGGGAGGCCCAGAGGGTCCCAGTCGTTTGACCCAGAATCTTGATCGGTCCTCCGTTGAAGTCCGTTCTCGTGCCGTGAGCCCTCCCTCCTGCACGGACCGCTGACGTGTCCTGCAGATCGGCAAGCACTCACAGAAACAGACCTATATACGACTCACCAAGGTTGACGGCCCAGATGACCTTCTCACGGATGTCTCTGCAGAACTGCAACAAGCAGTCCGGGAGACAGCCCTCCATTTGTCACTGTTGGAGTCCTGGAGAGCAGATTGTCAGCGGATCGTAAGTGCGGATGGCGCCGTTAGCATTGAAGCGGATCATCGATGACCGCCTTGTCGTGCTGTCTCAGGCTGACGTTTTCGGCACGTCATCGACTGCGAGCGGAGGTGGAGAGGCTCGGGCTGACAGGTGTTATACTGCATCAGCTGAGGCACTGCTTCCTGCTCGGATCCA